AGAGTGAGTGAAGAATTAAGATTCTTGTTGATTTATTTGGCGCCATCTACTAATCCATGGAAAACCATACCTCATGTGCTCAAGAATTACTCTATTTACGAGGGTTATCAAGGATACATAGAAGATGAAGCACTGAAACGAGTTACACGATTTTATCCTCCATGAATAAACATGGTAATGTCTAGCCAAAGACATTAAAGAAAGGCGTTGATTGAGAGGCAACCCAATACTTTTTTTTTATTTTAGTTTTCTTATATTTTTGGAGTTTTTGTTAAGTGTTAGTGTCATTTGTGATTTGTTATTGTTGTGACAAGAAGCTAGCAGTTAGACGTGCCCACGCTAGGTGGTCACGCCTAAGGAAGACAATTCATGTCGGTGGGCAAACACTCTCCATTAGTTAGGCGTGCCCACGCTAGATGGTCACGCTTAAGGAAGGCAATTTTCGTCTGCGATCAGAAAACTCTATAGTAGTTAGGCTTGCCCATGCCAAATGGTTACGTCTAAGGAACTCAATTTCCGAAAATTGTTCAGAAGACTCTCTAGTAGTTAGGCGTGCCGACGTCAGATGGTCATGCTTAAGGATTTTAATTTCAGACAGTTAGTCAGAAGACTCGAAGGCAGTTAGGCATGCCCACGCCTAACACAGGGGTTCCTTTATTCAAAAAAAAAATATCCATGGTTCTTCTTCTTTCTTCTCTTTTTCTTTCTTTTTCTTTCTTTCTTTCCCTTTTCCCCCCTTTCCCGCTGCTGCCTTCGCTCGCTTTGCTGTCCGCTGCTGCTCCGTCGCCACCGCACCGAGCACCTCCTCAGCTCGCTCCAGCCGCCGTCTTCATTCAGCAACCGTTGCTAGCCATCGTTCACCACCGGCGTTCTTCTTCTCTTCAGTCCCTCACTGCCTGTTCTCATCTCTACTTAAACAAAGGATAAAAGGAAGAACCGACCATTCCTATCTATGCCATAACTGCTTGAGACCCTCCATTACATGTTCAGGGAAGTTTCGTTGTCCCTTTTGTTTCGTATTATATTCTGTATTGCTTACATTGGGGACAATGTAAGATTTAGGTGTGCGGGGAGTAGTATATTGATAATATATTGAAAAAGTGCAAGTGTAGGTATTTTTGTTGGAATTTTTTGTTTGACTTTGTCAAATTTTATTCAATTTTTGCATATGTTTGTGCATATTTGTGATTGTTCCTGATAAACGATGGTTAGATGTTTCACGTTTTTCTATTGCTAAGATTTTACACTCTAAGATATTAAGTATAACATGGTTAAATCTAAGAGTATTGTTTTGATGAATATTTGAGATTTTGTGACTTTTGCACTTTTTGATTAACTTTTCTAAGTATTGTAAATATTTGTCTAGAATTTTTTTGTGTAAATTGGTTTATCTATTAATCTTAGTTCTCCATGTTTAAGAAATGAAGCGAATTTGTGTGATTTTTAATTTTCATTTGATACTTATTTATGAATAGTATTTGACTATACTCCACTAGTATCGTTGCCTAGTAATCGGAGGTCTTCACCACAAGTATCGATTTTCGCGTCAAAAAGCGACGATAGCTATGACTATGTGATTTTTAAGCGATGATGGCTGAGTAACTGGGCTCCTTCATCTGGCCAATATCAGAGTTCGCGTCAAAACGCTTAAATGGCTAAAAACTAAGCATTCCCCCTATAAAAAAAATCACAAAAAATCAATCAAGTGTGGAGATATTTTAGAAAAAATGATGACCTATTAGTGAAAAATGTGGAAGTGTTTGAATGAATTGTTAGCCCGCTGATCCATAAATTTTAATGTTGAGATTTTGATTAATAGTCGAACCATTTGCTTATGAATGCTGGTTGAATATTTTATATTCTTAACTTAGTTAGTCATAAATTAGAAGAGTGCTCAATCTTGAAAGCTAATTGGAAAGATATTTTTTGGAACTTAATCACTAATACTTGACATGTGTTTTAATTGTATCTTGGCAATAGAAGATCTGAACAATAGCCATTGTTTGAATTTGATTGTTTGATTTGTTATTTTCATGCTTGAGGACAAGCATGATTTAGATGCGGGGGAAATTAATAGGTCATAATTTTTTGCTAAATTCATAATTATTCTTCCCTTGATTTTAGCCAAATGTTGTTTTAATTGTCGGATTCTACTTATATTTGGTTAATGGTGCTAATTATAGGAAAAGGAGCAAAACGTGAAAAAAAAATGGACAATTTTTCAATTAATTTGATGGTGGCACATTCGGAACCGATTTCCAAGTCCGAATCAAATTCAAGGCAGTACTAGAGGAAGATTTTGAAGATTTTAATTTTCATTATTAGTCTTAGTATTGGATTAGGAAACTTGGAATATTATTTTGAGTAGTTTCCTTTTTATATTTTGGGGAACATATCTTATTATTAGTAGTAGAAGCTGAATAGGAAACAAAAAGAGAGAAAAAGCTAGATTCCCGCGTGATTAAGATTTTGACTAGCAACAATTTTGGTAGGGATTCTTTGGGGAGCATAAGACAGCCGTCATTGGTTCATCCTTGTCTAGTTTTTGGCTGGGGGCTTGCTTTCATTAGTTTTAAAGGAAAACCAATTGCAATCAGATTCCATGGAGTCTGGTGGAATTTCTTCTAGGATGCGTAGCTAAATCTCCATTTTCTAGTCAAGGGGACAACTGAAGATTTGGTTCGGCAATTACTGTGAGATCTAAATTATTTTAACTGCTTCCTTCATTTATTGGTATTTATATGTTTTCTACTTTTAATTGTTATAACTTTTGTGTATGATTGAATAGTGCGCAATATTTAATTATTCACGTAGGCTAATTTGCTAATTGGAGGCAGTTGGATCCGTAATTGTTCGATTACCTCTGTCCCGATATAGCAACTGGCATAATTGGATTTATGTCAGGGAAACATACGATCTAACTTAAACAAAACCTCGTAGCATGTTTGTTGATTGGGATTGAACTTTTCTAAATCTTAATGCAATCTAGAAATTAAATCCAACGGTCATACTCAGAGCTGTTTCCGGATTAGAAAAATAGCTAACGGTCGTACCTTAACTATCGAGAAATTAAAAAAAAGACTGGTTATTTATCGCGTGTATGACAACTACAGCCAATCTATTAATGACTGTTGGAATTATATTTGAATCGATGATCAGTTGCATGAATCATTTCTGAAGTGTACCCTTGGCTAGAGTTCTATCAATTATTTTTGTCAATTAATTATTTTCCACATTTGATTTATTTAGTTCATTAGCATTTAATTCTAAAACCTCCCCAATTTGTCTTGACTCGATAGGAAACAAAATTTCTCTCCAATCCCTGAGGAGACGACCCTACTTGCCACTATCTATTAGTTAGTAATTTTGTCAATTAATTAATTCTGATTTATTGGATTAAACAAACTCTTCAGGAACAGGGTGAATTAAGTAACTCATTGCACACTTAGAGTCCCTGCTCCAGTATCTAGAATTGATTATTGACAGCTTTTGGTGATAGTTTGATTTTATTATTATTATTGCACAAGTTCGGCACCTGTCAATTTTTGGCGCCGTTGCCGAGAACTGGTGCCTAATTAATTTGTTTCTTTTTGAGTTCATCTTGTTTTTATTTTTTTTATTTTTCTCTTAATTTTTTATATATAGTTTATGGCTGCTAACATTCTGTATTTTGGTGATAGACTAGATTTTATTTCTAGAAGGGGTTATGAGACTCATGTTTTTTCTAATGATCAATGGGCTGTTGCAAATTGTGGGACTTATTTTGTCTCAAATTATTCAACCGACATATGCCCTGTATTTCAAGATGGTCTAAGTGTTCCAATCGATACTTTTGGAAATTTTTCACCTCATCAAATTTGTCTTCCAAACCATACATTTTTTAACATTTCACTTCATCCCTCAAAAAAATCATTCTCATTTTCATAGTCATATATGCAATGATTAAAAGTAGCAGCTAAATTTGGAAAATCTTTAAAGACATTAGTTAAATGAGTTGCTGCATTTTGATAGATATACCATATACGTAAGTGGTGATACGTTGTTGGCCATTGAGAAGCCAAAGCCGTTGCCATTCTTCCGTCTTGGTCTGTAAGAATAGTTCTTGGTATTTTTCCTATCATAGCCTTAGCAAATGTGTCAAACAGCTATTCAAATGTTCCAATTGTCTCATCATATACTAAAGCAGCTCTAAAAACTATAGTTTGTTTATGATGATTTACTCCAATGAATAATGCAATTGGCTTCCCATCTTTGTGCTTTCTATAAGTTGTATCAAAACAAACCATATCACCAAAATGAGCAAAATCCATTCTCATCTTTGCATCAGGTCAAAATATGTTAGTTATCAAGTCATCTTCATCTACTTGAATGGCATAATAAAAATTTGGATCCTCTAATTGCAGCCTTCATAAGTACTCTAAGACTCCTCCTGTGTCACCTTGTATCATTGGTATGGATCTTTTGGGTCGTAAGTAGTTTTTTAAATCATCTCGAATGAATCCAAGATTTTCTTGTCCACCAACTTGTTTCGACATCAGTTCAATTGATTCTTTTGGTGCAATTTCGCAACTTCGGGCCATATCTATTTCAGCTTCATGTGCCATTGTCATGTGTCTATAAAATCTAAATAAATGAGTTTTGCTCGGAGTTGATAGCTCATGATTGTGTTGTGCAACAAATTGCACAACACGGTATTTTTTAGCTTGTCTACAGTTGATTTTCATCCTTGCACCACAATCACATCTTGTTTCTGGACGAGGACACTTAACAATCATATTGCCTTTGTCTTTTGGCCTTTTTCCTTCACAGGAGCAACAAAAAACCCTGTCCAACATCATATCACTATTTTTGTCTTTATGTCCCTTACTTAATCGAGTTCCAAAACCAGATGCTTTGGCATATTTTTGGTAAAAATTTCTACCTGCTACTTTAGTATCGAATTTCATGCCAAGTTTTGGGACCAAGTCATCTGGTATAGCCAAAGGAGGAAAATTTTGATTTCATTGATTGCCATCAGTAATACAAAGAGATAAGGCATTATCATTTATCTCCTGCGAGTCAACATCTTCAAAGTCCAATTTGCGACATGATTGGATTTCATGAGTTGGCAAATCATTCTCCATATCTTTCCAATCACAAAGACGTAAAGCAACATAAAAAATCTATACCCAAATTAAATATGCAAAATTCTATTTAACACTTGAAAAATATGGATCGTGCAAATATAAGGATGTTGAAATTCCTAATTATGAACCAACAAATGGAAGCTTTTTTTGATTAATTTAGTACTTCACAAACAATTTTTAAAAGAAATGGTTGATCAAGAGAGCAAACCTCAATAACAGATATGTCCTTTCTCTGCAAGCACATGCAAAGCAAAACAGAAGCTTGAGCATATGATAGCGTAACAGGAAGTTTCTCCATGAAATAAAGATGTTCAGGATTTGGCACAATGTCTAGAATCTGCGTTCAGTGTAAAAACAAAAATATATTAGAATAGGAGCACAAAATATTAATCATGTACAGATCCTAAAAATTTCTCAAACTGGAATAAGACCAATACTATTCCTCCATCAATTTTAGCAAAGGAAGAACATTACAGCCCTATTTGCATGAATACAAATTCCAAGAAAAAAGTTGCCATGTTTGTTCCTAAACAACAGCTAGGAATACAAAGAAAAAATGTCACATTGCAAAGATCCAGGAAAAAGTGGAGAAAATCTTCAACAAAACCAACATATTTGCAACTCTCTCAATTCTCTCCTTCTTGGCTGCCATTGACAAGCTTTTGCCAATACCAAATAACAGGATCCCTTTCTAAAAATTTTTTCTTCCCAAGTCTCCTTTATCATTGTTATCTAACACCCAAAAATTATTCTTTTCTCTTTACATCCGTTGTGGACCCTGATGCCACACTAAACAGCACACGACCCATGTTCGCTTAAGGGCTCACAATATGTGTTAGTGCATATTACTCTGGCCCATGCAAATTACTAACTACACCACCTGTTGTATTTTAGTATTTATGCCATGATTCAACAAGTTTCCTTTAAACCACAAAGCTTTGGAAAGAAGAAGTTTCTGTCAATCTCATAGAAGGCTCGATCCAAATTACAATCAAGAGACTTGGGAAATAAATCAAATTTGAGAATGATGTATAAGTCAATTAAGCCACACATATCCCATTTCTCCAACCACAAAAGAATCTCAATGCATCACAGGACAAAATGTCTTGGTCAAGTTCTGGACATAGTTAGCAAGCAATTTGACGACTGAGTCTATGATAATTCTATTACCATGTGGTATCACGTAACCAAAAGATTATATTTTCCTCAACTATCTAGGACACCAAATCAATGTCCATTACCTTTGGCTTATTTGCCTAAGGAGCCACATGCTTGAGAGTTTAAGTGGATGCAAAAGACTTCCATTCTTGAGATCTGTTCGATGATTGACCTTCTCTAACTCAATAGTATCATCATCGAAGTCCGCAAATGTGTCTCAAGTTGTCTATTTCGAGTTTGAACATCTTTGTCAGTATTACCATTTTTCTTTGGCTGCTCCCTATAGAAAAAAGATAAGTGGAATTGATGAATTTTTAAGGATGAGTGATACCCATTAACAGGTCAGGGGCGCCAAAATTTCCGAAACAAGCACTGGTCACAATTCACCCGAAACAGGCTTTCGTTTGGACATTGTTGAAAGGAGGAAGATGCTTTTCAGAAGGGTGAATTGTGAGTGATTTTTAGATGATAATGAGAGGGTATGGTGGAAATGACGACAAGAGGACATAGCTTGTTAAAGTTTTATGGTTTATTTCCCATGATAAATCGTGATTTTGTGAGAGAGATTTTATTTTAATCAGTTTTGGTTATAGATTCAATTTTTCTGCTCGGTTAATCGATTAATTAATTTAATATGGTCCGAGTCGGGTTGTTTCAGGATTTGGTTTATCAATGGACACTTGGCAAAATTAGAGGGAGTGAGATAGGATGTGAGACAGGATGTGGCATAGAAGATCCGTTGTACTGTACCTTGCACTTTTTAGCACTGTATACTTGCTGCTATTGTTATTTCTTTCTTCAGTATTGGAAAATGAATACTTGAATCCATGTTACTACAATGGTTTACCTTGATTGAATAGTCACATGAACATTTGAAAACAAAGGTCTACTTCCAAGGGAAAATGATAATCTTCTTGTAATGGAGATATCTTGGAAATGATATTAACCATTGGCGCTATCTTTTTGTGTTTTGATACTATAGATGTTGTCATTGAGTTTATTGAAGGCAAGGTGGAAACATATCCGAGTTTGCAGTATTTCGATGGTTTCGCCGAAATAACACTTTTCATTTTTATTGAACCATTTACTCTTCCTCTGCCTTTACTTTAGCTGTTTAGAAATGAATATTCTTCCATAGCCATGCATACCAAGCAATCTTTGCTATAATAACCTTTTGAATACCAAGTTAAGGATGTGTTGAAAGTCAACATCTCAGGTGTAACGCATGACAAAGTTACAGTTATATCAGGTTGGTAACTTCTGTTGCAAAAGTTTTAATTATTAATTTCTTATTACTAGCATATGGACAATGTATTATTGTTTTGCAAAGTACTAATACTTTTCCATAATACTTGCTAATGGGTAAACGACTATGCAGCATATTTTTCATTTCTCTCCATATCCTATACTAGCCACATGAAACTATTTTCTCCATGCGTTCTGTTCATTGCGCTCTTGCTTATTCCATACATTACTATTGCAATGTCACACAAATTTGATCCTTTTTTTTTTTTGGAGGTTTGCAGACATACATAAATTCTACAACTTCCAATTCAAGGATAGAACCATAGAAGCTCAATTCATCTACTAATTGAGTGAACCATTGATGTCATTTCATTTTTCCTTTGATGTATACATACATTTCCAATTTCCTTTTATTGTGGCCAAATAAAATCAATTACGTTATTTCTTTATACAATTTTTTAATATAAATTCTCAAGTTTCGTATATTATCGGTCGATGAATTTAAATCTATCATTTTTTACTATGATTTTCCTCACATCTAAAATTCAAACTTAATTATACATTCACATAAATAATGTATCAATCTTTTACCATCTTTCTTCTTTAATTTATTTATATGAACAGTTTACTCTTTTTATATTATTTATTTTTGGATAAACATATTGGGAATCTTTTACCATTTCTTCTCTGGTTACATATTCACATCCCTTAATAACACTAATGGCCATTACAAAATTATGACAAATTAAATCAACTACTATACAAAATTTTTTTAGTACAATTTAATTTTTCCCAACCTATTTTTTGGAACTCAAGCCCTTTTACTCCACCAACAACACAACCATAATGTAAGAATCCTTCCTCATTCTCAATGTTCTGCTCCTAAAATATTTCGCCATTCTTCATACCACTAAAAAAAATAATACTAATTGTAGTACCTAAAAAAATCAACCAAAAATATATAGGAGATATATTTGACAAAACCAATATAAGGGGGACGCAATTTACACATATAAAAATATGTGTGGGAGAAGAGAAATAATACTAACAATAATCAATTAATCACATCATAAGAACAAAACTCTTAATTTTTCACTCTTCTCAACTAAATACAATAATATGATTCTCTATTTACAGACTAGATGACTTGATAAAAAAGTCTTACAATCATAAGAAATTTCCTAACAAGAAACTAATTCCTAAACAATAAAACTACTATAACTTGATTCCAATAGAATTTTTAAAACCCTAACTTGACTAAAACACTATTAAATAATAATATGAAAATTTCTAATTTTGAGCTTTGATTTAATATGCCAACATTGCTTCCCTTAAATCAAGCTCTCTCTTGGATCAGGTTCACCACAATCATGATCAATAATCTCCCTACATATGCGCATTCATACGAGTATATTCTTGATGTCGGTTTCCATAATTGTCGAACAATTTATTCGATGTTCGATGAAAATGCAAAATAATAAACACCTTTAGATAGAGAAACCAAAGAAAACATAAAGAATCCTTGTTTCAAGTAGCAGTGATGCACCTATGCTATGCTATCCAGATAGACGCAGATGATATAAACTAATTGAAACTCCAAAGTTTAGTTGGTTTGTTAATTCACCAAGGTTCGAGTCATAAGCTATAACAATTAGTAGGAAAAGACCTAAATAAAGTTTGAGTACATTTACAATATGAAAATAAATTGGGGGAAAAAGTGAGGAAAAAAACCTTAGCCAAGGTAAAGAGACAAAAAAGAATTAACAGCAAAAGCAAAGGGCATATATGTACCAGTTCATATACATGCGTAATGGCATTTTTTTTTTTATTATTACCAACGATGGCGCATTCTATGCTAGCAATAAGAATTAATCTAAACACCAACAAATTGGAGAACACTAAATTTATAACCAAGACCTTAGTAGTCTAAGAAAAAAATTTTAGCCTCTAGCAAATTAGCAGCCCTCTTTGACCCTGTCATCTATCAAAATTATAGTTTTGGATGACAAATGAGTTTTAGACCTATTTTTTCCATCCAATTACTTAACCAACCCAAAGACATAGCTAACTTCCTAAAACTATGAGGCATATGATGAGTGACAACCAAGCTATTGGGCTTATAAATACGGTGTTTAGAACTCTGGTGGAATTTCTGCACAATCATATAAATCAACTACCTAGTTTGTCTCCGGCTCCCTCTATGTATGCTACATATTGGATACCCAAAATGCAATAACAATGACCAGAATGTGATGAATTATTGTCCATAGTTTAAGTCCATAATACAAGGGTCTTATTACTGCCATCCATGATTAGGCCAAGAAGCCAACCTTAAATGAATTGGAAAGTTTACTTGCCAATAAGGAAACTTTAGACACATCTATGTCTAAAGTATCTGTTAAAAAAGAAGCAAAACTCTCTTTACCAAAAAGGGAGGATCTCAAGTTGAAGATAGAAGGCCAGCAAATAACTAGAATAACTCAAATAACAAGTAAGGCCATGGCAATAGAAGAAATGGAAGAGCAACAATTGAAGGGGAACTGCCCAAAATAGAAGGCGTCAATGGTCACAAAACAACTAGAATTGACGAGTAGCGATCACAGCCGAGTAGTGGTGATAGCCAATAATTTTAGGTTACCACTTACTCCTATTGATAATACAATGATACTATTTCGATACAACTCTCAACAAATGGAGTTGCAACATATCTACCACGTACTTGGAATAATGAAAAATGTATTACTAGTTTTTCAATTCACAACATTTGGCAACTATGTGTTGTTCAAACTTGATGATGTCAAAATATATCGATATCTAAAAGTTATATGTACACCAACGAAGCAAGGAAGACGACAAGAGTCAGTGTATGTGATGTCAATTCAAGAAACCTATGTTGATAAGGAGAGGAAGAACAAGACATCTGATCTATAGCATGCCAGCTTGGGGCATGTCAGTTACTACAAGTTGAAGATCATGATGATGAAATCAATACTTAGAGGACTTCCTCAGTTAGATGTTCGAGAAGATATTGTTTGTGCGGATTGCCAGTATGAAAAGGCTCATCCACTTCCATATGAAGAATCAAAATTCAAAGTCAAGGTGTTTCTAAAGCTAATTCACTCAGACGTGTTTTGCCGAGTGAAGGAACCATCCATCTGTGGCATGAGGTACATGATTATCTTTATTAATAATTTTTCTAGATGTGATTGTATTGACTTTATGAAGGAAAAGTTAGAAGCCTTAAACAAGTTCAAAGAGTTCAAGGAGAAGGTTAAGATAGAAATAGATCGGAAGATTAGGTGTCTACGCATAAACAGAGATAAATAAGCATCAAATGAGTTTACCAAATTCTTGCAGGAATTCAAGATAAGGTGGTAGTTGACTTGCCTGGTATGCCTCAGCAAAATGGAGTATGGTATATGCCAAAAACATATCTCCTTATTTTTGAGCTGAATGCATGAAGACGGTAGCTCATGTGACTAATAGACTCCCTCAGCCTAAATTAGATTTTATTTCTCCAATTGAGAAGCTGTGTAATATTAAACCTAATGTTATTCACTTTAGAGTATTTGGATGTATTTGCTATGTCTTTGTCCAATAAAAATGAAAAGTGTTACTTCAGGGAAACCATCAAAATACTGCAAACTCGGATATGTTTCCACCTTGCCTTCAATAAACTCAATGACAACATCTATAGTATCAAAACACAAAAAGATAGCGCCAATGGTTAACATCATTTCCAAGATATCTCCATAACAAGGAGATTGTCTTTTTCCCTTGGAAGTAGACCTTTGTTTTCAAATATTCATGTGACTATTCAATCAAGGTAAACCATTGTAGTAACATGGATTCAAGTATTCATTTTCCAACACTGAAGAAAGAAATAACAATAGCAGCAAGTTTACAATGCTAAAAAGTGCAAGGTACAGTGTTTTAATGTAGTACTCTTGTAAGCTACATTGCAAGGTACATATTGTGTTCTTAATTTAAAGCAATCTTTGGACTTGGAAGCAATTTATTTGTAGTTTCTACAACCCCATCCCAGCCCCACAAAAATTAAAAAAAAAGGAAAATGAAGGAAAGAAAAAAATATTTGCAGTTAACATGATTGGAGTTTGGAGGACTACATGCCTATTGCCGGAAGGTGTTGTTAGCTGTGGAAGGCAGCTGGAGGTACACCTTTTTGCTATTTCATTATGATTATTATATTCAACTTCCATGGACAATTTCCCTATATATATTCAACAATTCCGAGTTGTATCTTCCAGAAACTTGTTCGCCTAAACTAGCAACAATTAGCATGCAATAAAGAAAATAAAATAGCAAAGCAAACATCTAAGTACTTCACTTGAATTGATGAGTAAAAGATCAAAGTAAAATATAATAAAAATTATAGTACTTTTCTACCTTTTTTTCTGGCAATTTTAGAGCTTAACAAAAACCAAACATACCATAAAAACAATGCAATGAATGCACTAATGTAGATACCCACAAAATTTAATTAATAAACCTTAATATGAAATAACACACCTATCAAATCAAAACCTTATGTGTAGAGGAAGTAAAGCATTGCTTTTTCTCACAATTTAAAACTCTAGTGTCGGTTGTGTGAATGACATGGAAGATGAGTATGATTAGAAAGTGATAGTATAGCAGTAAATGAGAAAGTGTTTAAGCATTATAAAGACTAAAAAAATTTTTGTGGAAATTAGGGGAGGAAAAAGATAGATAACAACTAATTTTGTACCTCAATAATAACTGAGATGATTGACTTTGTCCAGGTATCCTTCACAGGTACACCTTCTGCTTCCAAAGTCGTAACTTGCAAAAGTTAAAAAATGGTCTGGTTGTAAAGTTAGTCTACAAAAGTTAAACAATGGTTTGGAGTGGATGAAAAACAAAGTATTGGTACATCAGTAGAAACTCTAAGCATAGGAATCATTGGCTGACTCTAATGCTATGATTTCCTTTTAATCTAGTCCACAAACACAAAGGAGATCGGTATTCTTACAAAAACACAACTAAATTTTACTAGAAAAGTTAAATTTGCCTCACACACAACAGTGTCAAATTAATCCACCTCAAGACCACAACTTTGCAATTGGCAACACCATGAAAACCTAGAAAAGAGATTTCATTAGAAAAAAGATTTAGAAACATTTACCTAATGAATTTCACGTCATGCATTTGGGAGCAACAATCAAAAGAGCAACCATGTGAAGCAGCATTAAAGTTACAGGTTGTGGACAAAACTTAAAAATTGGGAGAAAAAGGTTGATTGAATGGAGAAAAATTTGTTACGAGACTATTAAAAGATGGTTTTGGAAGTTAAAAAAAATCTTGGTAATTGAGTGGAAAGAATATGCTAGAAGACTATTAAGAGATGGTTTAGGGAGTTAAAAAACCATCTAATAATATGTCATGTATCAGAAAATGCAACAGTGAAAGGAGAAATAGTACGTAGTTGAGTAGGATTGATAAAGGTGAACATGAGAATTGGAATAAGATAGTATTGGTTGAGTAGAATTTCTTTGTGAGTTGAGCACATATAGTGGATAGTAGTGTTAAGAGTAAATTTAGAAACACACAAAGTGACAAGAAATGTTAACACCAAACTAAGTACATACACAGGCTCTATCATTGAAGAAAATTTCCTAAATGAATGATGCGAAATCAGACTAAAAGTTTTATTGGACGTTTATAATGCATCTTTGACTGAAAAACACTTTATTCATTATAATTATACCTTTGTTGTTATGCTTTAGTATAAATATTTCTATAATATCTTGTAAATCTTATTTATCCAATTCTAGGCTAATTGTTAGACCTATAATTTTCCTCTGTACAATTGTACATACTTGTTATTAGCCAACCAAATTAGCTATTTTTTTAATCATGCATTTGGTTGTTGTTCAACCTTTCAGTTATCATTGTTTGTGCTGTCGAAACATATTGCAACAAGAAAATTCTAACAATTATTTTCCTTATTTGTTGAACATCTTTATTATCAGATTCTATATAAAGCCTATATTATTTTTGTCTACACTTCTTAAGGGCATGAGTGGGTAAAAAATTGTGTTATTACCGTGCATTGCATGGTGTGTATTGCCTAGTATGGTCATTGTTCGTTGTTTTTCTTTTTGGAAGGATAAGAAAAGTGGTCACGGTTGGCAATTAGCATGCTGCAATTAAATGCAATAACCTCTTTACTTGCTTTTATATAATGTTCAGTGAGTTAGAGTTTGGGAGATGAGCAATTCAACTGCATTGAGGAGTTGGATGAAACCTGTGAATATAAATGACTTGTCTTCCATTACCCTTGGTAACCTATTTTGAGTTCTATCTATGCATATCTCTTTTTTATTTTTTTTCATTCCAAATACCAAAATACAATTCTTTGCCTAAAACTTATGTTATTGACATTAGCAAGTGACTTAATCATCAATGTGTTTGTCCAGATGTGGCTCAATTAACTGATGTATTATGTGGTCCTTTTTTGGTGTAAGAAATAGTAAGACTTCTTGAAATTGAAATATTTTCTAGTTCCTGATGATTGATTTTTGGAACACATAAGTTGAACATTTTTTGTTTGGTATTTTCTTAAAGTTGCATTAAAAGGATCAATCTTTAAAAAAAGATCCTGCAAATTTTAGATGAATGCCTTATTCTTGTTCCATTTAGTCATTTTACTACAACAAAAATGACCTTTAACGGCATTTAAAGGTGTCAGTATAGATAATCTAACATGACACTTTACCTTTCCTCACACCTTAGACGAGTGTTGTTCCTTCCAATGTAGGGATAGGCTCATATATTCAAACATGTCAGGAAAACTATGTTGTTATAACATCCTATCTGTCAACAAAAATCTCTTTTCTTGATAATTGAAAGTGTCAGGATAGCTATAGTACAACATTAGGATATCGAATTCTATGCTGACACTTTTAATTGCCAAAAGTTTTTATTTTTATATATAGAAGCAACCTGCAGGTAGTGCTCCCTGCTATACATTCCATCAATCAGAAACCCAAAAGATTTGTAAAATTATCCCAAAGAACAGAATGCATATAAGAAAATATGCTATGATGCAAAAATCTAGAAACATCAAACTTGAGCAGCACCGTGATTATGAGAACTAAAAATGCCAACTCCCATAAGTAAGAGGAGATTTGTCATCATGTTTCATACATCAAAAGATTCATAGGAATGATTCATATATAACAGATGAGCACATGACTAGTAAGGTTAATGGCCACAAGGAGTCCGTACAGATGTCCAGACATGCCTGACAAATGGTAAGCTAACGAGAAGGAGCTAAAAGCGTAACTAGCGTTCATTTACACGACATGAATTACACATCAAGAAAGTCAATCGACTCTCAACAACTCACTTGTATGTTGTAGGCTGAAGGTTCTTCTATCAAATGCTACTGCAAAACAGAGGAAGAACAAGATATAAGCATGATTTTGACAACACAAGACTGCAGGACCAAGGAAATGGAAAGATAAAGGAGTATATACGGAAGAATCAATAATGTTTTGATGGTTTTTAATGCAAATGAGTCTCAAGGACCCTGTCAGGAAAGAAATTTTTCTTCTAACAATCTACTGTTATCTACACAAATGTTGAGCACTAGCAAGAAAACACAAACCAGAATGCTTATCCGGAACCAAGGAAGTACATTATTGTAGAATCAGTTATGAATCTGTCACAAGAAAGAGAAGTATCACGGTTTTAGAAGCTGATAGATAGACTATGAGCGGCCTAGTAACTATCAACATAAGTTCATAAGGCATAGTGGTTTTTACCCATTACATGCTATTTACTGATAAGAAGATTAATTGCATAAGGCATAACAGCAATAGGCATCATAGTAAGACTTACATTTAGCAAGTGACTATGTAACCATTTTCTGGTCCTCATGTGTTGCAGTCTGATGATGGTACCACCTTTGATTGTATCCCCTTGTTGGGCATTGGTATCTGATACAGGTCTAACAATCTGCAAGCCAAGTTTAATCATACCTAACCTTAGAAAATTATGATGATCTAGAAAAAAAATAGATACTAGAAAAAGAAACATACCCAATAGCTATTTGAGTCATCAACGTTGGGAAAACCAGTGACGGACTGCTGCCCACTACCAGAGCCATATGGTACATCATGTGAATGCAACCTAAACTTTGTTCTCTCATGCATCAACTTGATCACTTGTGTTGCATGGTTGATTAATCAACTTGAGTGTGATTGATTAATATTACCATCTTTATCCCAGTTTACTTGTGTTGCATGGTTGTTTCTGTACAGAATGGGGCGAGAAGTAGGAATATATTAAGTAATCAAGTTGAAGACAGAAGCAAGAAGTACTTAAGCAAGGTAATCATCGTGGCATAGAACAAGATCGAATCAACTCTCAAATCAGTTCTTAAGCCAGTTTTGAGAAGCAAACTCACTAGGGTTTGGCGGTGCATTGCCGGTTCCTCAACCCGTACACGGACCAGTTTCTTAGCTAAAATTTTGAGTGCACAACTTGTGCAACTTAATTCCTTTTGAGCCTCCATTCCTTGCTTGTATTTGAGGTTTGACAACACATTTTGGTGGCTAGAACAAAGTTCAAGCATCATCAAGAAAGTACATTTTGTCACTTCAATTCTTTAAGATTCCATTGGAGCTACAAAAATTTTGATTTTTTGGAACTATGTTCACATTGCTGAAGAAAGAGACAAGTAAGAGGCTTTAAGACTTCTCGATAGAGGATAGTTTTGGGAGTTTGGTGGGAAGAATAAAATCACTAAAAATGTAGCTCTAAATCCATAAGCTCCTAGTATCTTCAAAGTAGAATAGGGTAGTGTAGTCTGTAACTATTCTTGTACTTGTAGCTATACTTGGAAAAAGAATTGAGGAGCAAATATAGAGAGTTTAGAATTTCATGTGACAAGAGTGACCTCTGTCGTACTATTTTCTCTCTTGTACTTAATTTCATAGTTTAGTTATAAAACAAATTTGGTATTTTCCTTAATTTTTTCTTATATTGTTCTAAAGTTTCATACCCAAGTAGGTTTAGTCTTTTGACCAAAAAAAAGTAGGTTTAGTCTCTTCTTTATATGATGAAATAAACGTGGTGGTTGTGTTTATCTTTTGAGCAAGTATTTAGCACTTTTGTTTGTAAAATCATGATTAATTGGCCATTAATTTATGATTATTTGAAGATGTTAGATCATCAACAAGGAAGTGCTAAATCTAATGAGTAAATGTGTTAATTATAATTATCTAAAGGTTTTAGATCATCACAAAAGGATAGAATCACCTTTGTAACTTTTTATCATGTAATTTCATAGAATCTAATAAGTTTATAACTAATTTCATATCTCTGAGAATATATATGTATTAGTTATAAGTATAGTTGATTCACTAGCAGATTATGTTGTAGCAGTGCAAATTTGAGTGTAATTAAAACTCTTCATCACATAGTATAACCGGCCCAACATCGCTGTTAAGATTTCAGAGCGACACCACTGTTAAGCCAAACATCACTGTTCATCATGGTATACTCTTCATCACTGTTGGCACTTCATAGAGACTTTTATGTAGTGATTTTTTTTTTAGAGAAATGTAAGCCTAAGCATTTTATTAGAAAAATGTTACAAGTACTAAGACAAAATAATTTACACCAGCGCAACCCGCCACGGCGTTCCCGATCATGCATACAAAATGAGTTTGTTTGGATAGGTAGTTGTTTTGAAATATTTATTTGAAAGAATTATAGTAATACTTTTTGTACTGTGATATTTGTGAGGTAAAAAAGTGGTTAGAAATCATGTGTATGATGTAAGCAAAATAAAATATGAATTTTTTTTAAAAATCTTGTAATTATAACAAACGATATTCCCTGATGATGGTACCGCGTTGTATTACATGAATATGATTCTACGTTTGAAACTGCGAAGTAAATAATGAACTATTTGTGGATAAGATTGAAAACAAGATATGAACCCATGTAGGTTAGAGTTACGAAGCAGTAGGTGTACCACTGTACTTTATAGAGTCAAGATGACTATGCACACCATAACTTTCTTGTTTTCTTTTTTTTTTCCAACTATGTTTTCTACCTCAAAGAATCATACTTTTTTAAAAAAAAAAAGAAAAAGAAAAAGTGCTTTGCCTTCTTTGGTGGTTACGTTCTTTTTGCAACCGTACATATCTTGAAGGCTATCAAATGTGCTTAAAATAGAATTACCTTAACAACTAGAAGGCTATCATAATTCACCTTTTAGCGTATGTCACGCTTATTCACTACAACGGACTTATGACTACTATATAATGGCTAGGTTGAACAATTTTAGCTTCCAAAATAGTTCTTAATTGCCAGAATGGGCTACACAAATAAAGTCCTTTTTGGCATTCTTGTATGCTCATTTTGCTTTGCAAACATTAGCTCAGTTTCTGGCAGTATCATCCATGGTCCACATTATGAAGTTCATGTGGTTAATTTGATGCCAAATCAAACATGGATACACTGCTTTTCCAAGGATAATGAACTTGGATTTCATTATCTTCAACCAAAGGAAGATTTCCATTGGGACTTTCATATGAACTTCTTTGGAAGGACCCAATACTTCTGTCATTTTTGGTGGGGTATAAAACAAGCCGGTTTTCGAGTATTCAAGGGTTTCGACATGTGTGGTGATTATGATTACCATCTGAATGTATGTCGTTGGGAAATCAGACCAGATGGTTTCTATTATTCCACTACCGCCGAGAATGGGCACATCAAAACTAAACAACAAGATTGGTACTAGATAATGTATTGGAGTTTCAAAGTGTAATTTTTATTAATATTTTATATTGGATGTATTGATAAATCTTCATATTCTTTGGTTTTTAAAATATTTGATGTGTTTTCTGTCATTAGTACATATTTAATGTAACAAAGATATGATGTTTATATAGGAAAAACAACAAAAGGTTGAAATATTCCTTTTCCCCAATTACTTGGGCTTAATTTTCTACTATTACATTGCAATTCTATGTATGGCTGGTTTGGCAACATGGATTTTCACTCTCAAATTCTTAAAAAAAAAAAAGTGCCTCTTCAACCCTTGGTTCTAATAAAAAAATTACTCAAAACCACTAAATAGTCACAAAATATAGGACATATTAAGGAATTATCACTATGGCTGTTGGAAAGCTTTGGAGTATTTTTGTCATTTGACAGTGAGTAGAAATAGGCGATCTGTTGGATCCCTCTTGAACCTTTTTCAGCCGTCAAAAATCACCACCCTTCTCCACCCTACCATATGCCTATGACTAGGGGTGTAGATGAGGCTAAACTATTGGATCCTTAATCCAATGTTGAACTTATATGTAAATAATTATGTGTTGCAAACTGTCAAATAAGATTAAATTCAATTAAAGTGACCAATTATGGTTTTGGGCTTTAATGTATCTAATAGAATATGGGCTTTTAATGTGTAGAAACTTAAAGATACTTTCTATTTCTATGAAGGGTTGAAATAGGAATCCAAAACGTAACAGAAAAGTTATCTATAAATAGGGTTATAGTCCCTCGGTCACACATATTGTTATAGTCGTATATTTAGTATCACAAAATAATACTTTCCTGATATCTCATTGTCAGCAAAGATACCAGAGAGAAACTAATGGCATCTCTCAGGGGCATAGCAAATACGTGTTGACATGGAAAATCACCTAAAAAATCTTTGAGGATTCAAGTATCTGTTTGTCAACATGAATCCTGGTATGCTTTCGCAATTTTGCTGTTAATTTATTTCTTAATAATCGCCATAAAGATTTTGGGCACATCAAAACTAAACAACAAGATTGGTACTAGATAACGTATTGGAGTTTCAAAGCGTATTTTTTATTAATATTTTATATTGGATGTATTGATAAATCTTCATATTCCTTGATTTTTAAAATACTTGATGTATTTTCTGTCATTAATGCAGATTTGATGTAACAAAGATATGATGTTTATGTAGGAAAAACAACAAAAGGTTGAAATATTCCTTTTCCCCAATTACTTGGGCTTAATTTTCTACTATTACATTGCAATTCTATGTACAGCTGGTTTGGCAATATAGATTTTCACTCTTAACGGCCAAGGACCCTCTAGAAATTGAATTTTATTTAATTAGAGGAAAGATTATGATTTCTAATCTAGTTATATTTCTAAATTGTCTCTCCAATTTAAATGTGGTAGTTCTGAAATTTGTGTTTTCATTCTTTCTTTTTGATAATGTGGAAAGCTGTTAACAGTTAACAGAAGATACATTGGAATTATGATTTTCATGAAACATATATGTATTGCTCCACAAGTTGTGGCAAGTCTTCAAGAAAATAGTTCTTGTTTGATACATTTTGCTCATCACTATTTGGCCTTGGTTTTTTTTTTTTTCCTTAAAAAACCCTTGCTGATATATTTTGAGGTTTCTTGGGGTTGGACTCAGCTTTTCTAGTCATTCCACCACCAAATAAAATAAATTGCTGGAATTGATGCCAACGCCCACCAATGACCTTCACCGAATTTTAAGATATTTTGGCTATAAATTATGAGATTTTTGTTGTAAACGAACCGTGAAGCATCGAGGTTTTAACTCCAACCCATAGATTAGCCTTCTAGTCATGATAGTAGAGAATAACTGTATCTTAAAATCAACAAAAATAAAAAGATAAAAGGTGTGGAGGCACCAAAACCTTGCAAAAGAAATTATGTGTTTTTGGTTGAAACTTGAAAATAAAAAAAAAACTCAAAAAGCTCGAGCCCTTGGGCATTCGCCATATGGCACGGGCGAACATCCAATAGCCAATTTCTTCCAATTCAATCTCACCCCTATAGGCATTAGAAGAACACCCTATTCCAAGACTCGCCTCAAAAATACCATCTAAAATACTAGGGAGGGACGCCGAAGAAGAGCATCAATCAATTTATTTACAATATGATCTTGCCCTTTTTTCTTTGAAAAAAGCTCCTTTCTATGACAAACAACTCTACGAAATAGGAACAAAGTAAAAGACAGTCTACCCCACGTTAGGGCCAGTAGAGCGGTTGGCCAAGGGATGTCCTCTTTAGGGCCTTTGGTCGTGTGGTCGACTCTCACCTTGTTAACAATCTCTGGTTCCTTGGCGGGGTGGGGGCCAGGGCCCAGTAGAGGACTAGTCGGTTGCCATTGTAGTCGAATACCCCACTGAAGGGAAAAAAAAAAGAAAAAGAAAGACAGTCTACCCCTTGATTTTAGGTATTCTCATATTTATATTTATCGTTTAGACATGTCGTAATTTTTATTTTTAAAATAGGACAATAACACAATATACTTTGCTTTTTCTCTATACTCCATTTGTTTTTTTTTTGAGCCTATTTTATCTCTTTTTTTTAAATAAAAACCATTATTTAATGTTTTTATATTTCTGAAAGAGGAAAAAAATAATTTTTTAATTTTTTTTACCCATTTTAACACAAAGGGAACTTTTGTCATTTTAGTATTCCTGTTAGTTTGGTATGAACAAGGGAGGTGGTTGTTATTTGGTTAAATTTGAGATATGGATTCATTATTTGGTCAAACTTCGAGGTAAATTTGATTGATTGAAAGTATCCATTAACAACTATTCAATCAGCAATTCATGGTAAATACAGATCAATCATTGACATAATATCAATGATTTGTTTAAGATATCAATCAACAATCAATTAATCGTATAGATCACATATGACTCTAAAGGCAGAAATTCTTACAAGAGAATGCTGCTACAAAGATTGCAACTTATATGTAATACATTGCTCAATTAGATATTTCATGGACAATATTTTTAAAGTTTCTCGTACTTGTTTTTCAGTCCTTAGGATAACTATTGAAAAGGCTTTTTCTCATGCCTATTGATTATTTTTAAAATCACTTTCTAGTTAGAACCAAGGACCAAACCAACAAAAGTTTTCCCACATGCTTTTTGGCACTGTAAGAAGGAATTTGGTAAGAAGTTTCGAGTACCGAGTTATTTTTTATATGAAAATACCTCTTTTAATAAATAAACACACATATATAGTGACGGTCTCAAACTCGAGATCTTTTACTTACATTTCCTTTGTCTGTATCACCCAATCTATCTTCCTCTCCTCTCTTCCACCGCTCCCCCCTTCTGTCTCTCTCCCTCTCTCTCACACACACATAGATATCAGAAATTTTTAAACTGTATTATAGTTGTTGTAATTTGTCATTTTTTTCAGCTTCTATTAAACTAATCGATTGAATAATAAGCAAGTAGCAGTAGCTTCTAAAGTAGCATTTCGAAGAAAGTGCATCATTGCTGATTGGAAGGCGTGCAACGGATCAATTTTAATTATACAAAAGGGTTAATTGCAAAGTACAGCCCTAAACTTTTTTCTAGTCGTAAAGTGCCCCCTAAGCAAACATTTTCATCCATATGCATCCTTAAACTTATAATTTTTGGTAATGTACTCTAATCAACTAACCCTTGGCAAATTGAAATATTGAAAGACATAGCTACCCTAAATCTTTAGTTAGACTTCCAAATATACCCCGTAAACCCAATCGCCATGCTTGAAACCCTCCCTCATGCCACAACCAGATATCATCTTGGTTCTCAACTCTACTTCTTCATCTTTATCATCGAAGTCCTCTTTATCAGCGACTCACACTAAGCCCACCATCTCCTTCAATCAACAACTTTACCCACAGCCAACTCTGGACCAGTTTGGGGTTGCAGTTACTTATTAAAAAAACACTTCATCAATGGAGATTTTAATAAAAGAACTTATTATGTGTTTAAATGTTGTTAGCATATTGTTTAGATGTATAGTTCAATAAGTACTTTAAATAGTGTATTGGATAATGTGTAATTTAAAAGTTTTTAAATGTCTTTATCTCTTTAGTTAGTTCATAAAATAGGACAATGATTAAATGTAATGCTTTATTTTTTAATATAGGACAATAAAATATATTAGTTATTTTAAAAGCACTTTTGCTAAAATTTTAATTTTTGTTAAATGTGCTTTTAGCATAAAAAATTTCACTCCTAATTTTATGAAATGATGTTCACCAAATGCCTCAAAAATATTGACTTATATGTATGTATGGAATGACGTTAATATATTGACTTATATATATGTATAGAATGATGTTATATTTTATGGAATGACTTATATACTGACTTATATTTTATGGAATGATGTTAACCATGCATTCGACTAGTTTGATTAGAATTGACTGATTTGACTGAGTTGACCATATTTTGACTAGAGTTGATCAAAGTTGGCTTTGGTCAAAATTTTTGTATAATTTTTGTAATTTTAAATTTGAATATTGGTATGATTATATATATTTTTTGAAATAAATTAACTGAAACAATATACCACCAAAGTGACCTCTTTTTGTGAAAATTAATTTATTTTGAAATTTAACTAGTTGAATATTTGTAATTTTGCGAATATTGATCGACTCAAAGAAAGGTCAATGTTTAACAAAATTGTATGTGCACCAACTTTTAACATGAACAACTTTTAAATCCAATTAAAGTGATCAATGGAAGTTTTTTGGATTGGTGTGTGGGTTGGATCTCAATGTAGGACATGTACGAGTGTGTTTGGGTAGTTGGTGGCTTAAGCCTGTCAAATCGGAGAGGCTTAAGTTTGTGTTCCGACTCTTATCTAGTCTGATCTGTTGGCACATTTGGTTGGCACATTTGGAAGGCTAGGAATAAAGCGGTCTTCCATAGGATCGTGCAGAACTCTACTGTTGTATGCCAGGCCATCTTTCGGCATTTAAAGGATGCTTACGGGCTTCAATTCGCGGAGTTGCAGCGCGAGTGTTGGAGTGGCCTACGTTCTTGGAAATGGTGGAGCATCGATTTGATGCCTTCCAAATGCGACAAATCCTGTGGCACTCTCCAGGTTTTAAAGTTGTAAAGCTGAATATAAATGGCTGCTTGAAAGGTAACCCAGGGGTGAGTGGTGGAGGGGGGATTATTCGAAACTCTGCAGGAAATATGATATTTGTGTCCTATAGGTATCTTGGAAAGTGTACCAACTTGCAAGCAAAAGCCAAAGCATTGCTAATTGGGCTGCAGTTATGTGTGCAAAGTAGTTTCATTGAAAATTTGGTTGTTGAGTCGGATTCTTTGAAGTTAATACAAAATTCTTTTGAAGATTTACCGGCGTCCATGGTCCATCAGTGGGGAGGTGGAGAAGATTGTGCTAGTGGCTCGGGTTGGATTTCAGTTCACACACTGCTATAGGGAAGCAAACAAGGTGGCGGATGTGTTGTCAAATGAAGGTTATGCCCATCCTGATCAATTGGTTTGCGTTTATGAAAGTATTGCTGACTTGCCAACAATGGCCAGGGGTGAATATCGCTTAGACAAGTTTGCATTTCCTTTCTTTCACAGATTTAGGATCACATGTAATATCTCCTAAATGTAACATCCATCCTTTAAATTGAATAAAAGCTCTAATTTCAGAAAAAAAAAATGATCAAGTAAGACAAGCATACGAATCATGTGTACTTGAACCATGTGCCAACTAATCATAACAAATAAAGCAAGTATGTGTACTTGATTTTGCATCATGTTTATTGATTTCGGCAAATCCATGTATTCATATGTAACCAAAAGCAATGAATTGGACTGTGTAAATTTACTGAAAACATAAGCAAACAAAATACATTAAAATCACAATTCAAGATTGTCAACTGCCGTACAATCAAACCAAAAATAATTCTAGTTAAAAAACCTTAAAAACTATGAATTATCAAAAATAAATTATTTCGTAATAATCAACCATATCCTGCTTTGATACCACTTGTTAGTGGTTGTTTATGAAAACCTTTGGTGAAAACTATTACCTATTAAACCCAAAATCTTTATGGCGATTATTAAGAAATAAATTAACAGCAAAATTGTGAAAGCATACCAGGATTCATGTTGACAAACAGATACTTGAATCCTCAAAGATTTTTTAGGTGGTTTTCCATGTCAACACGTATTTGCTATGCCCCTGAGAGATGCCATTAGTTTCTCTCTGGTATCTTTGCTGACAATGAGATATCAGGAAAGTATTATTTTGTGATACTAAATATACGACTATAACAATATGTGTGACCGAGGGACTATAACCCTATTTATAGATAACTTTTCTGTTACGTTTTGGATTCCTATTTCAACCCTTCATAGAAATAGAAAGTATCTTTAAGTTTCTACACATTAAAAGCCCATATTCTATTAGATACATTAAAGCCCAAAACCATAATTGGTCACTTTAATTGAATTTAATCTTATTTGACAGTTTGCAACACATAATTATTTACATATAAGTTCAACATTGGATTAAGGATCCAATAGTTTAGCCTCATCTACACCCCTAGTCATAGGCATATGGTAGGGTGGAGAAGGGTGGTGATTTTTGACGGCTGAAAAAGGTTCAAGAGGGATCCAACAGATCGCCTATTTCTACTCACTGTCAAATGACAAAAATACTCCAAAGCTTTCCAACAGCCATAGTGATAATTCCTTAATATGTCCTATATTTTGTGACTATTTAGTGGTTTTGAGTAATTTTTTTATTAGAACCAAGGGTTGAAGAGGCACTTTTTTTTTTTTTAAGAATTTGAGAGTGAAAATCCATGTTGCCAAACCAGCCATACATAGAATTGCAATGTAATAGTAGAAAATTAAGCCCAAGTAATTGGGGAAAAGGAATATTTCAACCTTTTGTTGTTTTTCCTATATAAACATCATATCTTTGTTACATTAAATCTGTACTAATGACAGAAAACACATCAAATATTTTAAAAACCAAAGAATATGAAGATTTATCAATACATCCAATATAAAATATTAATAAAAATTACACTTTGAAACTCCAATACATTATCTAGTACCAATCTTGTTGTTTAGTTTTGATGTGCCCATTCTCGGCGGTAGTGGAATAATAGAAACCATCTGGTCTGATTTCCCAACGACATACATTCAGATGGTAATCATAATCACCACACATGTCGAAACCCTTGAATACTCGAAAACCGGCTTGTTTTATACCCCACCAAAAATGACAGAAGTATTGGGTCCTTCCAAAGAAGTTCATATGAAAGTCCCAATGGAAATCTTCCTTTGGTTGAAGATAATGAAATCCAAGTTCATTATCCTTGGAAAAGCAGTGTATCCATGTTTGATTTGGCATCAAATTAACCACATGAACTTCATAATGTGGACCATGGATGATACTGCCAGAAACTGAGCTAATGTTTGCAAAGCAAAATGAGCATACAAGAATGCCAAAAAGGACTTTATTTGTGTAGCCCATTCTGGCAATTAAGAACTATTTTGGAAGCTAAAATTGTTCAACCTAGCCATTATATAGTAGTCATAAGTCCGTTGTAGTGAATAAGCGTGACATACGCTAAAAGGTGAATTATGATAGCCTTCTAGTTGTTAAGGTAATTCTATTTTAAGCACATTTGATAGCCTTCAAGATATGTACGGTTGCAAAAAGAACGTAACCACCAAAGAAGGCAAAGCACTTTTTCTTTTTCTTTTTTTTTTTAAAAAAGTATGATTCTTTGAGGTAGAAAACATAGTTGGAAAAAAAAAAGAAAACAAGAAAGTTATGGTGTGCATAGTCATCTTGACTCTATAAAGTACAGTGGTACACCTACTGCTTCGTAACTCTAACCTACATGGGTTCATATCTTGTTTTCAATCTTATCCACAAATAGTTCATTATTTACTTCGCAGTTTCAAACGTAGAATCATATTCATGTAATACAACGCGGTACCATCATCAGGGAATATCGTTTGTTATAATTACAAGATTTTTAAAAAAAATTCATATTTTATTTTGCTTACATCATACACATGATTTCTAACCACTTTTTTACCTCACAAATATCACAGTACAAAAAGTATTACTATAATTCTTTCAAATAAATATTTCAAAACAACTACCTATCCAAACAAACTCATTTTGTATGCATGATCGGGAACGCCGTGGCGGGTTGCGCTGGTGTAAATTATTTTGTCTTAGTACTTGTAACATTTTTCTAATAAAATGCTTAGGCTTACATTTCTCTAAAAAAAAATCACTACATAAAAGTCTCTATGAAGTGCCAACAGTGATGAAGAGTATACCATGATGAACAGTGATGTTTGGCTTAACAGTGGTGTCGCTCTGAAATCTTAACAGCGATGTTGGGCCGGTTATACTATGTGATGAAGAGTTTTAATTACACTCAAATTTGCACTGCTAGTGAATCAACTATACTTATAACTAATACATATATATTCTCAGAGATATGAAATTAGTTATAAACTTATTAGATTCTATGAAATTACATGATAAAAAGTTACAAAGGTGATTCAATCCTTTTGTGATGATCTAAAACCTTTAGATAATTATAATTAACACATTTACTCATTAGATTTAACACTTCCTTGTTGATGATCTAACATCTTCAAATAATCATAATTAATAGCCAATTAATCATGATTTTACAAACAAAAGTGCTAAATACTTGCTCAAAAGATAAACACAACCACCAAGTTTATTTCATCATATAAAGAAGAGACTAAACCTATTTTTTTGGTCAAAAGACTAAACCTACTTGGGTATGAAACTTTAGAACAATATAAGAAAAAATTAAGGAAAATACCAAATTTGTTTTATAACTAAACCATGAAATTAAGTACAAGAGAGAAAATAGTACGACAAAGGTCACTCTTGTCACATGAAATTCTAAACTCTCCATATTTGCTCCTCAATTATTTTTCCAAGTATAGCTACAAGTACAAGAATAGATACAGACTACTCTACCCTATTCTACTTTGAAGATACTAGGAGCTTATGGATTTAGAGCTACATTTTTAGTGATTTTATTCTTCCCACCAAGCTCCCAAAACTATCCTCTATCGAGAAGTCTTAAAGCCTCTTACTTGTCTCTTTCTTCAGCAATGTGAACATAGTTCCAAAAAATCAAAATTTTTGTAGCTCCAATGGAATCTTAAAGAATTGAAGTGACAAAATGTACTTTCTTGATGATGCTTGAACTTTGTTCTAGCCACCAAAATGTGTTGTCAAACCTCAAATACAAGCAAGGAATGGAGGCTCAAAAGCATCATACACCATTTTTTATTTTTGCCACACAACAGAAACCTCAAACTATAAAACAGGAAAAAAAATCAAATTTAATTCATAAATCAGCTCTTTGAAAAATCCGAATTGCAATTTTTAACTGACACCCAGCTAGATTTTTAACAAAGATTATCGAGGCATTTCATCAAACATGTCGAAGGCTATTACTAATTCTACACAAACAACTCCATTTCCTCTTTCCCTGTCCTCTTTTAGCTTAGAAACCTCTGAAACGCTAGAATTTATAACCATCATATGCCTATAATAGCACAAACTTGGTCAAAATTTTGAACAAAAAATAACTATAAAACAACTTTTCGCGTACAGTTTTAACAAATAGGGGGAAAAGCACACACACAAAGATGCACCGCATATCTATGCAACTATAGGAACACAAAAACCACGAATTTGAAGTAGTAAGTGGGCTTTCGGTTTACCTGGACGCCTTCAGAAGCAGCAGAGACGGGGAAAGAGGTGAAATCGGAGTCAAGGGTAAGAAAAAGGAAAATGGCGAGACCGAAAAACGAGATTGCCATTAGTAAAAGTAAGCCAATGAACCAGGTGATTTGCCAAAAGAGCAAACTGAGATCGGACTTGGAAGACGATTCTCGATAAACTATTCGAGTCAGGGGAGAAATTTGTTGAGCCTAATTCGAAGAAGAAGAAGATGATGTGGGTTTCCTTCGAGAGAGATTTTGTTACTGATGCTGCTATTGGCTGCCTAAGGGAGCCACGGTTGAAGCTTTATGGAAATCGGAGCTCCAATCACAGGCTCCGATGCTTAGAAGATCCTAATGATGAAGATAAAGATGGGGCAAATCGTAATCGGAGTCGTATGGGGACGGGTACAGATGTCAAAGATGAAAGGCTTCTGGAGCCAGGGGATGAGGAAGTGAGTACCCTCTCCAATGGTGTCCTCGATGACACAGTGGATGTGACAGTCCCACCTTCCCATAAGGCGAACCAAAGGGTTCAGCGGACCGCCTGCCCAACTCTCGCCGGGACTCACTACGGTCCTCAAATAAATATAAAAAAACATAAGACCACAAGAACAAGTGTTACAATAATTCCAAACTTAAAACATATATTTATATACATTTCTATCTCAAAAGGAATACAACTCAAATATACAAAGGTTATCAATTCTTCATACATCCAACTCTTGCCAAATACTAGGGTGAGAACCATTACAAAAATTTAAAAGAAATAGACTAGGTTAGTCTGTACAGATCTCTCGTCTTTGCTCGCATCCCCTGTTAAGGAAAACAAAACTAACGGAATGAGCTAAAAGCTCAGTGAGGTTCCAGACATATAATCAACTTAAACAAGGACATTAATCATGTAATAACACGTAATTCAGGAAACATTTACAATATGAATCAATAATAACACATTCATTAAAAGGATACATGCTCACATGGAACCTTTCATTCTTTCATTCACCTTTCATTTCCTTATTCCTCCAATTATTTTAAAATGCATTTTGTAAGTGAAAACCCCTCCATTGACATTGTCACTCGTTCATTCATTTCATTCTTCCCCCTTCTGGACATTGGCCAGACTCCACCCGACAACGTGGTAATACTCGAGTATACCAAACTTTCACGCAGGGTCACCAAATCGCCCTACCAAGTCCGCTTCTGCCTTGAGTCGACCGGCAACGAAGGGTAAGGGCCCAATTCAGCCAAATGACATACATTCATGCACAACTAACATTTAATCACTTAAACATTGAAAATGTCACATTTCATTTAGATCGAGTGCGATAAAGTACACACTCGCCTAACAAAATTCATTTTTAACAAACATTTATCATGTAATAAAATATCCACCACAACAAATCATATAGTTAATGGAAACATAACAAACAAAGAACACTCACCTGTTTAAGCAAAATAACGTCTAAAGTATCCTTCCGGATAATACCCTCAATCACCAAGGAACCCTAATAATAACCAAGGGAAAATATTACGGTTAAACCATCCAAAGTTTAGGTGAACCAAAGAAAATCCGAATAACTACTAGTACAAAGTATAAATATGGTTTTGGAAGTGAAAAGAGTATATTTAAACCAAAGGACATGAGTAAAATATTTGTAAAACTTATGCTCGCTCGTAAAACTTTGAAATCTCCATTTGAGTCGAAGTGACAAAGAAAACGTATTTCTATTAGTCGTAAATTTCAATTTTCCAAGGGTACAAGTTTTGGCCGAATTCTAACTTATATACCTCGATGAAAGAAGACACAAATATCCTAGATGGTTCAAGTGGCATTCGTGCTCAAATCCTTACCTAGTTCGCGAGTGTAAATTTGGGCAGCAGCACGTCCTTTGTATTTACCTATTTTTTAGCCATTTATGGCTTCATTATTTTCCTCAATTAGTCCCAAAGTCACACACAGATAATCTCATTACAATAGCCGTTCAATAGGCTCAACAATTATCCAAGTACAACACAAGTATAATAATCCAATCGGAAATCATGTTTTGAAGGCAAAAGGCTAAATAGCAGATTCGACATTTTATAACATTTTAGTCACAACTAGAGTTACGTTTATCGGATTGGTGTGAAATTTATACTGGCTTGAAGCTAAGACAAAGGGCTACAACTTTCATGAAGACCATTCAATCCAGTTCACAATTGATCTAGGTCAAAAGTACAGATTACAGAACCAAAATGTCCTTGTCAGTACGGTTGCCAGTACTGAATTCAAATGACAATAACTTAGGCTACACAATTCCATTTAAGGTGTTTTCAGTTGCATTGGCAAGCTAAAACATAGGGCTAAAAGTTTTGTTTTTCTGGCCAAAAGCTAATTTGATACGGATCAAGGTGAAAAACGCAGCCAGAATGAGGAAATGTCAAAACTGCCCACAAACTATACCTACGGCAGCAAGGGTAATTTTGTCATTTCATGTGCTACAGTACTCATATTGAGCTGAAATTTTACAGGAAGCTATAATACATCATTTCCTACAACTTTCATGTTTTAATCTAAGGTTGATTCAGCCTCCATCATGGCCGAATGAAACTGGGCAGAACAGGGTAATACAAAACCGAAAAATTGGAATTCATGCATTCAAGTGCTAACTTTCCACAAAACAACATCTATAACAACTATAAGCCACTAATTAGCAATTAATTGAAGTAAAGAGGAAGTTCTTGACAAAATATCTTGGAAACTCAAGAAAAATGGTAGTTTAGTATCTTTCCTCCTACAATCACTCCACCAACTCCTTTAAGCTTCCTAGTTGAGTACTTGTGTGGTGTAGTTTCCAATTTAGTTAGCTAGAACTCAAGATTTGAGTAAGTTTGGAAGCTAAAATTGAAGAACTCTCTCTTGTTTCTCTCCTCAAGTGGTTCGGCCAAGAAACAAGAAAAATGAAGGAATTTTTGGTCAAAATTTGATTTTAGAAAAGTTAAATAAGCTTGGTCAAAAGTCCAACATCCAATGAGGTAGTGACACTTGGCCTTTCTAGTGTTTAAAACTTATCTTCTTTCTTCCAATGGTTAATCCATCTAACTAACCTCTAATAATCTCCTAACACCTTGTAAAATAATAACACTTAGTACAAAAATCACTTAATCACCAAAATTTTATCGCACTAGCGGGTCCCATGTCTATAACGCGTTTCAAATTTAACGTACACTAACTTATACTAGGAAAATGATTTAAAACGGTACTTGCTTATAAAAATGCATAGAAACTTTAATATTTTAAAGGCAAGTATAAAAATGTAGGCAAAAATAAAATAATGCCTAGAAAAGGTGAAAATTTTCGGGTTCTCACAATGGAACCGGTCGAAGAGGATAGCCCGCTGCCCTCCGTCGACAATGTAGAGGGAGGAGTTGAGGACGGTGGCGCCGATACCCAAACCAACTACGTCGAAACGAAACTGCTGCCTGGCTGCTACCCATTTTTCCCACCAACTATGTCGGAATCTGACAACAGAGACAGAGAGAGGGGGAGGGGGAGCCGGAAAATGAAAATTTTGACTAAGTGTTTTGGCCGGCAGAATGAAAATTTTGAGTATTTTAAGCAAATGAATCTCCCGCCAAAATCAAACGATGCCGTTTTGTGTCTTTTTTTTTTTATACATCTCACATTTTCTCAAGTGTCATGTTAGGTAGTCTAAAGGCACATTATTATTTTTATATTTGATAAAATAAAAAAAATTAGAGTATATATTACTGAGTTGGTAATAAGTATCATGATAGTAGTGCTATAATGATACAAACCAGCAAGTGTTCTTATAGGAATGTGAGGAAAGACCATTTTTGTTGTAGTGTTTGCTCTTGTGTCTGAACTTAAAAACCTCTTGTTCTGAATTTATCTTTTTTTAAGATACTTTACAAAAAACATGTAAACCTTCATGTATGCATGCATTCCGTGAAAATGAAATTACTTCTAATTGTCTTTGCTGCATTTCCAGTTGAATTCTAGATTATTCCACATTTCATCTTCAATTGGCACGAGATACTTGGGAAGAGAGTGCTCGCATAAGGTGTTGACCCCTACATGATGAAAAGCTAGGAACATAAGAATTAATATGAGATCAAGACGGTCAATGAGACTAGGAGTAGATTGATCAGATCTAAGTTGGCATGATACGCATTGAGGGTTGTAGGAAGTTGTCACAATGTGATTGACCCCATGTTCTTTCTTGTCCCCACTAGAAGAGGAAGCTGGCCAAGGATTAGGGTGCAAAGAAGATTATGGAGGGGGGTGCAAAGAAGATTATGGAGGGCAACAGTCCGATTGCCAATAGCCGAACTCAGCCTTCAGAAATAGGTGGTCTGCATAAAAGTCCTCTCACTATAGAGGCAGAAATTAAACTGGCTTTCTTCATCAAGAAAGCTGACGGGCATTCTTAGACAACTAGATTTATTACTTTAGGCCTTTTTTTTTTATCATATTGGGGAACAACCATGGTGGGAAACGCTTCAATAAGAAAAGTTGCAAAATGATGCAATTAACAAAGCAAACAGCGTGATAATGGTTGACAAAAGTTCCACATCAGCCTTCAGCTGATCCAATTTGCTGTACAAATTGCTAAGGTAGATGATTGCCAGTAAGACCGACTTGCCTTTGGCCATAAGGGCGGCCAGCTCAACAGCACGAGCACTTGCATAATTTTTAAGGAATCCCAGTAAAACATAGCGACTAAGGTAATAAACGAAGAAGGTAGTGGTCAAAGATTCCAACAATTTGAGGATCGGCCATATTTGAGGAGTGCTGGCACAATGTTGACAGATCCTTAAAGCAATACAATAGTATTGGCATTCAATTCCTTGCTAGCGATACACATAACCTCTAATGTTATTGTTCAATTCATATATTACCTCTGACATCCTAATTTGCACAGTTTTGTAAGCATGACCTGTAAAGTTTCTATTATATCTTTGTAGATCACTTGAAGTGTTTAGATACGGTAAAACTTTACTAGAGCCGCGTATTAGGTTATAGTAGATGACATCGCTATGTATATCTGCTTTCTTTATCTTTAGTGTTAACCAAATATCGTGGTATCTAGTAGGATGTATCAACTTCTTCATCT